GTGATACATTGTACAGTGGCATAATACACCTCTTGCCTATATTCGGGGATAAAAGGCATGATGTTATGTTATGTTAAAAACACTGCTATAATTTCTAACCAATATCCTTGAATGATTCCAGAAAATTCGACCGTCTCCTAGAAGTATGCGTCCACGACCAAAACATCTCGAAGGCCGGTGACGTAGCGTCCCTCTGCCCAAATGTCCGCAGTTTGGATGTATCACGCAACCTCTTCTCCAACTGGCGTGAAGTTATACAACTGTCCGCACAACTGCCGGATTTGACGGAACTTGATGTTAAGTGAGTTAGATATTTTTTTTAATTTTGTTAAGGTATAATAGGATAGATGCCTAATTCTTATTTTAATGTCCGTCTTGTAGATTATTTTAAAATCATTAGACACGTATTTTTATTTTATTACACAAACGAATACTGTCGACGATATATTGATTTGAAATGTCGCGTGACGTCACTTCTAAAATTTGATTCGTTTTATCTAAGTATTGTTTTACTATACGACAAAATAAAAAAATTAGTGTCTAATATTTTTTCATTACCTAACTTACGGACTAATTAGATTTTTAATAGTCATACCCTGTCTTCATCCCTATTTATTGTCTTTCTGCCGCTACTCAGAGCTACAGTTCTTTATAGCAGCGCGACAGTCCCCACGTCGCGGGTCGCGTAATGCTGCTCATGAATATGAGCCTCTAGCATGTTATTATAATAACTATCGTGAGACATACTAAATTAACTAAAAAACGCGGGGTATTCACGTGATACTGAGAAAACCTCTACTACCTGATAAGCGCGCTCGCGGCGATGTCTATAGGATGACAGTAGGCGGTGCGACATCGCCGCGCAAACCCCTCTGTGGTTCGAAACTAGTAGAGCTTTTCTCAGTATATTCACGTGAGTAAATCGCGATTTTTAGTTAATTTAGCCTCTAGCATGGCTTGAAACTAGTCGAGTTCCTCGTCAAGTAATTACGTGAGTAAGCCGAAAAACACAATAATTAATTTAATTTAGTATGTCTCACGAAAGTTATAAGATAAATTAGGTATATTTTTTAAGTAATTTATTCCGTCTCGTTGGTGAAGTCGTTGGTGCAGGGCAAAGCCTTCTTGTTTATATTTTACTAGCGACCCGCCCCGGCTTCGCACGGGTGCAATATGCATGTATTATACATACAAACCTTCCTTAAGAATCACTCTATCTATTAAAAAAAACCGCATCATCAAATCCGTTGCGTAGTTTTAAAGATCTAAGCATACATACGGACTAACAGCGAATGCGACTTTGTTTTATACTATGTATTGATTGTTTTACATAGTAGGTGCTATAAATATTCGACGCACTGAAAATTCTGTCAAACGATATTACCTCTATACTAAGTGATTATTTTCTTAAACGTTGTACGATTTAGTAATATTATATTGTCAAACGTTGTTCGATCAAAAAAGGGTGAACCATTTTATTAGTTTATTATCCAAGTATTAATCTAAAACTTTATTTTCCCAGCAAAAACCGAATGGCCATAGACATGCCGGAAGAAACGATGGCACAACTGTCAATCAATTTTGCCAACCTGGAGAAACTAAACATTTCAGTATGCGACTATGAATGGGTTGACATCCTCGCTCTATCACACTTATGGCCGAAATTAAACGAAATGATCGCTGCGTACAACAGAATAAAGACTATAATCCCACCATCAGTCACTCTCAGAACTTTAACAGTATTGAAATTGGATGGAAATCCTCTAGCATCGTGGTACGAAGTCATGAACCTCGGTATGATGAAAAACTTAAAGATTCTAAGTTTAAACGACTGTCAAATAACTGAAATAAAGTTCAATGAGAACCCCGAAGACAAAGTTGACATGTTTGAAAAATTGGAAGTTCTTTTTTTGAATCGGAACCGGATTAATGACGTGAGTATAGTAACTTTTTCTTTTAGTGTTGCCATGTCAAAATATTAGATTACCGCAATGGGTATCGCAAGCACCGACTAACTTTAAGCGTGGAAGAACTATACTTCGGCACGAACGGACCAGCTCGACCGGAGTGACACCAGGACCGAGCAGAAAACCGTAGTGAAGCAACGCTTGCGTTGTGTTTCGTCGTTTGAGTGAGGTTACCCGAGGCCCGATTACCAGCCCCCCTCCCTCCTCAATTCCTAATCCCCAAAAGGCCGGTAAAGCATTTGTAACGCCCCTGGTGTTGCGGGTGGTGCCAATTGCTTTCCATCCGGTGATCCGTCTGCTCGTTTGCCTCCTATTCAATAAAAAAAATAAAAACTAAACCAGTGCTTTTTGATAAACCTGAACCTCTTAAATTATTTTTCTACTTACTACTTCTGCCTCCTACTTACAAAATACTAATGAAGTTTATGTTTTTTTTTATTTCAGTGGCGATCTCTAAGTGAACTGAACAAGCTGGCCTGCCTGAAGAAACTCTACTTCCTGAAGAACCCCATACAAGAGACTGAGGACTACGATACTGGATCACAACTTGTTATTGCTAAAATTGATACGCTACAGGTATTTTTTTTTATTTATTAAGACTTTAATGCACACAAAATAAGGTACATAAGGTTGACTTAATGCCATATGGCATTTTCTCCCAGTCAACCTTTGGGCTAAATATGGAGTCAGCGAAAATGGGTTTGTGTAATATGCAAAAAAAAAAACAAAATAAATAACTAATAGTAATAATAAATACTGTATAAAAAATTAAATAAAGGTATAAGATATGATATAAACTACTTTTTATAAATGTTAATTTTTATAACATAAAATCGCGCCTTTTATCCCCGTGATGTTATGAATGAATGATATTTTTCTTATAATTGTAAAATTACCTACTTGTCAAGTGTTTTAAAAAAAAACTATGAACAATAAACTCTTCATTGGGTACTTGCTTTCATCAGAAATAAATTATTTCGACTGTTCTATACAATAAAATATAAAAAAATAATCACACTTTCATTACTTGATTTTATGTCCAACAAAATTTTAGTAGTTATCCAGTAATTTGTTAAGAAATAAGTTAATTATAAGTTAATGGCGCCTAAAAACGTCACAATACACAATATCGTACAAAATTCATAGAAAGCTGTCGTTTTTGACAGTTCGAAAAAAGTATTGAATTTGACTAGTTGGCAAATACCTATTTATGACTATTAAAATAACTTCATTAAATTTTTCCTCCCAGGAACTAAACGGCTCAACAATAACTCGAGAGCTGCGTCGTGGAGCTGAGTATGACTATATGAAGCGATATGGAGCTGAATGGAAAGCTGCACAGAGTGACCCGGCCAGCCAACGAGCCTTCATCATAGAACACTGTCGGTTTACTGAGCTTATTAACAGTGAGTATCACATATTTATTTGCCTCGTAAATAGAAATGGGCGATTTTTGGATAAATGTTGTCCACTTTTTTGAGTATTTGTCGTCTCCCACAATTTTCTCGTGGGTACTTATTTATGTCAATTGACTAAAAAACATTTGACAGAGATGGGTAGCCAGTAATATAAAAGAATCCCTCGTAAGAGGAAATTAGTGTGCATATTTAGAGAAGTAGCTGGACAATCAGTACCTATGCAACATGTTGCGGGTTCGATCTCCGCACGCAATAATTATTTGTTTTGTCCACAAATTCCACATAGAATGAATTTGGAAAACAGCTTACTGTACCCCTCTCGTATAATTTTAAACTTTGTATTTCAATATTAATTATTTTTTCCAGAATACGGCATTCCAGACGACAGCCTGCTTGTGAAACAACCCAAAACAATGACACTCACATCACAGCTCCTAGAAATAATACTACGAGATGAAAACGGCAAGTCATGCAAAAAGAAATTCCCGTCCTCCATGTTTGTGCAAAAGCTGGTCACACTCGCACAAAGACTGTTCCCCAGACCTGGTCACACTGGCCCACCGACGCTATACCTACTCGACGATCAAATGAAAGGAGCCGAAATATGCCTCGACAACGTCATGAAAGATCTCGCCTATTTCTCAGTCAAAAATGGAGACATAATCCTCGTCAAATTCAGATAATTCCACTATTCCTTATTAACCACTGGCAACACAAATCAAGATGGCCGTTGAATTTAATTGGCGCGCATTTTAAAGTATTTATTTAAAAATCTTACAGAGCTTTGTAAATAATGTTATCTCGAAATTGTACCTGTATTTATGGTGAATATTATTTTTCTCAAAATAAATGTTCAATTATGTATTTTTATTTGTGTCTTTTATTTTACTTTCATCGATATTAATTTGCATAATGGTTTTCCGTTACCAGTCGCCTGTTTGGTAGTTATTGTCAGGATAAAGTTTGTATAATTCGCATGACAGACAAAATTATGCAACAGACACATTCGTTTTAAAGACAGTACCTATTCGTTTAAGTTAATGCAAGTAAACTATAGTGGGTATTCATATTTTTAAATAACTCACTGAAGCAAATGAGAAAAGTCCTTGGTTAAAGCCACAGAACATATGTATAAAGAAGATTTATATGTTCTGTGGTTCTGTGGTTAAAGCAATAATGTTGTGGTTCTTGCATGGCTTTCTGCCTGATAGGTAAATTTAAATACTATAGTAACAGCTGAAAATTTTAACCTTGTTTCTCTAGTATTATAATAGTAGTCTATGGCCTTGACCAAGGAAAGTATTATAGTTTACCTACTGTTTAAAAAATTATAAATCAAGTTGCTTAGTAAGTCTAGACGTAATAGTGCTAGCATCTTTTCCACAATGACTAGCCGTAACGAAAACATACAATCAAGATAATTATAGTAAAACAGATGTGACCTTTCATTTTACAATCGTTATGATAGATTTGTTCAAATACAGCTGTCGCCTTGAGTTACGTTAACTTGTTGACAAAACACATTATTCATTTTATACACAAAGCGCCACTTGGAAGGACGATTTTTGGGCCAGTGAAAACAATATGTATAATGCCTGAAGTTAATACGTCTAATTAATATCGTACCAAGCTTAAAAAACTGTATTTTTAAAATAATCTAATATTATTTATAATAAAATGAAAGGTAGAATGAAAATTAAAGGAAAACAATACTGAATTATTGAACGGACAAAGAGAACAAACCAATGAATAACACTGGCCACATCGAACTCGATCGCTATTGGTAACCGTTGTGTCAACAAAACTTTTTTTGTTTACAAATGGCCACGGGTGACAAATTCAAATTTGAAAGACGTATTTGTGATGTGAAAAGTGATTTTTTATCGTTAATCTAGTTGTACATGTTGTGTTTATTATGGGTAATTGTCTGGGAAGTATTTTTCGGCGTCGAAACCAGCGTCGTCACATTGTCTTGATACTGATAGGCTTGGATAACGCGGGAAAAACAAAAACTGTGAATAATTTGGCCGGCGAGAAGGATAACAAGGTTTTGCCGACTGTGGGTTTTAAAGCTGTGAATTTAGTGCATAAAGATACTCCTGTGACGATATATGATTTAGGCGGGGGTCCTCACTTTCGTCAAATATGGTCTCAGTATTATAGCGAAGTGCACGGTGTGATATTTGTCATCGATTCAAGTGATTTTTCACGGTTGGACGAATGCAGGGCCGTACTTGAAGAGGTGTTATCGCATGACAAAATATCAGGTATGATTTTATTAATATTTTGCAACTATTACCATGGTTACTCTCTGGCTGATTCATGTTTAGATTTGCGTAATGATTTCAATGAAAATGTTTTTAGAATTTGAAATTTTTGTTACATTCGTTATTTAAACTGTCAAACACCAAGCGGTCACCGGTGACCGCAACCTATTGTTCTATAATTGTGTCTACAAAACCGGTACTCGACGAGTTAAAACGAAAACCTGGGTAGGTACCTATAAGATTTTACGCAGAATTACTTACGTAGTGCAAATACCTTTTTTGGCTCTTTGTCCTACACACTGGCGTTGAAATTGTTAGGTAAATAGGTGCACATTGTTGAAATGGTTTCCTAAACTAACGACTTCACAAACGGAAGTCAGACTAGATAAAAACTTAATGCCTACTCGATTTTCAGTGTCTATGGTTTGTTGTCTATTCTATGTCATATTATTAGCTTATTTGCAACATCTTCACTTTTTTCCCGTTTTTGCACTGAAATTCTCTTTAAAATGCGAATTTCATAGGTAAAGAAGCCTATCAACTACTTAGATAAGGTAGGTAGGTACCTAAATATAGTTACTGGCCACTGACATTTTTATTCCACAATCAACACGCAAGTTCCCCAGTTCAGGGTCAAGATAGTTCTCAGTATATCGACCTCGGTATTGTTTCCTTTCTTTCAATTAATTCGTAATTTATTAGTCTACGTCTACGGCACATGTTTTGGACACGATAGGCCTATCTTAATTGCTACTTTTGTGGTATTGCAAATTTATATTCTGACTTGTGAACTAGGTAGGATTTGTCCATCACCTTTTTCTTGGAAGAATGAGATTTTAATAGATGATGAAAGTCATCATCATCATCATCATCAACAGCCTATAAATGCCCACTGCTGAGCAAAGCCTCTTCTCACACGAATAAAGTTTGAGCATGAATCACCATCGTCACCATGTTTGCTCAATGCGGGTTGGCGATTATAAACATTATAATTAGAAATTATAAGTCCAGGTTTCCTTACGATGTTTTCCTTCATCGTTTGTCAGTAGAGTAAATAAACTTAGAAAGTACATATAATTTGCAAAAAGTCACTTTGGTATTTGCCGTTGGTAGGTTTCGAACACGCACCCTCATGCTTTAAAAAGCGGGCGTCTTAAGCCCCCGGGCCAACACGACAATTAAAGGTACCCAAAGTCTATTCTACCATAGTCCAGATGCCGTCTACTGCTGGACATAGGACTCTGCAAACCACCAAGCTCAATCGTTAGATCTTCGCATATAGCAAAGACACAGTGTTCTTTGCAGTTCAGCTCATCTCTCGAAACCTTTTAAGACAAGTCAATAAAAGTCTAAGAGTCACAGTCAGATAAGCATAATATGTTCTACGCCATTCCCCTTCGCCCTTCCATAGACGGACATGTTTTTCTACGGTGGATAGCATAATTCGACTTCTTTACTTCTTTAGAACCTAAGCCATTCTTGCTCTGTATCTCGCACTAAACAATTGTGTCAATCCGTTACCTCAAGTTTTTTAATGAAATTCAGTACCTACCTACCTATGTCAATCAATTTCCTTCGCATGCTCAGTTTAACGACTTCCGAGGTTTTAATGCGATTTTATGTTTATTTTTCTTTGAGATTAACTGTTACCTAACCAACGACTACGATGTACTACGGTCTACGGTGAGGCGGGAGGGAGTGTCAGACTCTTACTGACTATAAACCACCCCGTTCTTTCACCTGCACTTCGAGCCAGAGCCCCGGTCACCCGTTAGGTTCTCCGGCAGAGATATGTTTAGATATATTATTAGATAATTTGATATTGAGTGCAAGACGTCCACCCACAAAGATGACAGACGACCTGACAAAGATCGTAAGAAGCAGCTGGATGCTGGTCGCTTCCAATCGACTCTGGAAGTCATTGGGAACGCCTAATGTGAAGCAGTAGACGTCTGACGTCTTATGCTTAATATTATGATGGATTGATGACTCCAATGTCTTCCAGATCGCCCCGTTGGAAGCGACTTGCATTTTTACCTTTACAACTTAACGGACTACCGGGGCTCCGGCTTGGAGTAGGAGTAGGAATAGGGTGGTTTTTAGTCACTAAAAATCTGGCCCTGGCCTCTCGGATAAGCAAAAGCGGAAGGAGTCATAAGATGATTTTCTTTTCTCAAAAAAAAAACCTAAAGGATTCTTCTGTTTTTAATCTATACTTGGTATAATATTATAAAGCTGAAGAGTTTGTTTTTTTGTTTGTTTGTTTGAACGCGCTAATCACCGAAACTACTGATTCGAATTGAATAATTCTTTTTGTGTTGGATAGTCTATTTATCGAGGAAGGCTATAAAACATCTCGCTACGGCCATTAGGAGCAGAGCAGAGCGGGTGAAACCGCGCTCAAGTAGCTAGTTTAATTTATAGCTAAACAGTCTAACACGAGTAGTATGACTCATGTAACACAAAATTAATTAGATAAAGCTTTAATTAAATTGCTTATCAGTTATTGACTAGTGGAATAGGGCACCCGGCAATACATAACCACTTTATCATGGTCTCACATTGTTTCGTCTTTCCGGATATTCGGCGGTCAGTTTATACTGGTTTAGCATAGCTCTATGTGTGTGTGTACATAAGGGGGCTAGTTTGTATTTATCGAGTCCCCATACCGTGACGGTTACCGTGGTTAATATCGTAATTCGTAAATAAATTACACATACTATGTTTGTTCAAGTACCGATACCTAGTTGTAAAATTGTAGATAAGTGGGTATTACACGCTAATAGGTACTTTCTATAATATTTGCGTTGAAAAAAATATCTATAAGTTGAGTACTTTCCTAATATTTGTTGTTGGAAGGTTATTCAATATCAACACAGTGGTATGATACTAGTAGTCCCCGCGATTTCAATTTGATTTAGATGATCCAACTGATAAATTGACTGATGATTCAAGTGTGAGCCATGCTTCGGCTCGAATGGGCCGGCTCGACCGAAGTGATAACACGGATTCACAGAAAACAGACGTGAAACAACGTTTGCGTTGTGTTTCGTCGTGTGATTGAGGTTACCGGAGACCCAACTATCACCCCTCCTTCCCCAATCCCTGAATCCTTACCATTCCTCAAATTCCTAATCCCCAAAAGGCCGGTAACGTACTTGTAACGCCTCTGGTGTTCCAGGTGTCCATGGGCGACGCCGGTTGCTTACCATCAGGTGATCCGTTTGCTCGTTTACCGGCTTATCCCATAAAAAATCAATGAAATGAAATGTAGTAAGAATAAAATGCGCGAAAAATACCTGGGTCGGGCCAAGTAGGTAGTAGGCATGATGGGCATCAGAGAGAGAAGACAGGACTTAACTGGTGTTACATTTTTCTTAAACATTGCCCCACACTAGGATTTTCTCCTGTCATTTCTACATAAATATTATGTTATCATTAACAATTTTTTGCTTAGTATATTATTTAAGTATCTGTATGACGTTAAGTATAAAATTGAGTCCATAAGAAAATCTGTAAGAATTAACTACAACAGTAGTTTGTACTTGAATTTCAGTAAAACGTAACATTCAGCTTAGCACCAGACTTGGCATAGGCTTCAGGCGTTAATCTAGTTACCTAGATCATGAACTCTTTATACCAAGTCATGGTCGGTTCTTTATCGTGTTGTAATAAAAAAATCTAGACTCATACTGCATACTGCGTAACTACTGGTACGAATACTGTAACCATACTGTAACGTTACTGTAACCATTAAGGGTTTTTTTAAGGGGGGAAAATCATCTGATGACTGCTCCTGCCTGGGTGAGGCGGGAAGGAGTGTCTGACTCTTACTGACTAAAAACCACCCCGTTCCTTCTCCTGCACGTCGAGTCGGAGCCCCGGTTACCCGTTAGGTTCTCCGCGACAACCATTAAGGGTAAGGGTGTTCGTGACTCCTGAAGTGAGTGGTTCGTCAAGGCACCCTTTTGATCCATGAAGTGGTATGGAAAACTGCAGATATACCTATTGGATACAGGCTACCGGCGACAAAGTCCGCGTAGATTATAAATTTTAGAACATAACATTTTTGTTTTGTTTTTAATTTTCAAATTAAAAGTAGCTTATGCTAGCTACTCCTTAGTACATCAGCTACTTGCTAATAAGTCTTGCAAAATCGGTCCAGCCATTCCAGAGATTAGCCAGTACAAATACATAGACAAGCAATAATCGTAAAAAATGTTATTTTGGTATGTGTATCGTATGTATCGTATATATGCACGTAGTAAAACGCGGTCGTTTTGAAGTGATCCGACAGAGATCCAAAGTTATCGACATAGCCCAAAGGATCAGAAGCTGAAGTGGCAGTGGGCCGGTCACATTTGTCGAAGAACCTATAACCGCTCTGGTGTAAACGTGTTCTAGAGTGGAGACCGCGTTTAGGCAAACGCAGTGTAGGGCGCCCTCCAGCTAGGTGGGGTGACCACATCCACAAGGTGGCTGGCAGTGGTTGGATGAGACGAGCTGAAGACCGAGCTCAGTAGCGTGCCATTGGAGAGGCCTATGTCCAGCAGTGGACGAATACGGGCTAATGATGATCAAACGCGGTCGTTTAAATATTACAAACAGATACTCCAATTAAAATTTTTATTTATCTGTAGGTATAGATACAATGCTTAACATGCTCTTATCATCTTAGTCCTGCGTAATACTAATAACCCACTATTACACCTATTCCGTACACCACCAGATGCCCGGCACTAGGTTAACGGTAACTTTGACTAATCCAGGAATAGGGTAGATGACTAATTTTTATTTGAGTACCGTCATTATAGACACAATTAAAGAACGATAGGTTGCGGTCACCGGTGTCCTCGCGGTGTTTGACAGTTTAATGTCCGTCTGGTAGATTATTTAAAAACATTAGACACGTAATTTTGATTTTCTTACGAAGATATATTGATTTGAAATATCGCATTACATCACTTTTGAGTACGATTTATACTCTAAAATGATGTAGC